GTCCTCACCCAAGAACATGATCAATCTGATGTCTCCTCTCACTGCAGAGAAAGAGAGCCTATGCAACTGACTAATATTAGACAACAAGATTTTAGATAGCTGGTTTGGGTGGAATAAGTGAATGGGTAAATAACATTTCATTATCTAGGTAGAGTTATTTCTCATAGCAAAGTGCATTTTAGGAACTTGGGGATTTCCCAAGTCTCTGCTTTTTGCTTGTTGATCATGGATGTCAGCATTGCACGTTTCCTTACCCCATTAATTTCTAAGCACTAATAAAACCTTGTATATAATAAATAAATAAAAGGAACATAGTGGTAAGCCTTAGCAAATTATAAAATCTTTCATGGTCATTATTCTGTCGTTCCCCCCCTCCCTCCCCCCCCATGTGACACTGGTAACATGGCAGATACCTTAACCATGAATGAATTAAAGGTTGGAAAGGACACGTTCTCAGGACTGAAGTTTTCAATATCTAAATGAAGAACATGCATGACTTGGTAAATGCATCACAATGAACAGTAATTTTTAATATCTGCCTAATGTTTGTTGTCAAAGCTAGATGCATTTTAAGAACTTAGGGTTTTCTCAAGTCTCTGCTACGTGATCACTGATAATGGATTTGAAGATTGCATTGTTCCTTACCCCATTGATTTCTAAGCACTAATAAAACTTTATTGCCCCTCCTCCTGCAGACAGCACACAGCCAAGCCTGATGGCTTCAGGAAACTGCACAACACCAACTGCGTTCATTCTGTCTGGATTGACAGAAAATCCAAGGCTGCAGATTCCTCTCTTCATGCTGTTTTTAGCCATCTACATCACCACTTTGATGACAAATCTGGGTCTCACTGCATTAATCAGCATAGATCTTCAGCTTCAAACACCGATGTATATTTTCCTCCAAAATCTGTCTTTCACGGATGCAGTTTATTCTACAGTCATCACTCCCAAAATGCTGGCCACGTTTTTAGAGGAAACAAAAACAATTTCATATGGAGGTTGCATTCTGCAGTACTTTAGCTTTATTTTGTTGTCAATCTCAGAGTGCCTGCTGCTAGCTGTGATGGCATATGACCGGTATGTGGCCATCTGTAAACCTCTGCTTTATACTGCCATCATGACCAAGGCAGTCTGCTGGAGGCTGGTGAAAGGTTTGTACTTTGTGGCCTTCCTGAACTCTCTGGTGCACACCAGTAGCTTGCTAAAACTATCCTTTTGCTCTT